GTAGGGAAACACAATGTAATATTGCCAGGAAAACGACGTATCTGGCAGCCAACTCTCCCTTTCCTTGCATGTTCCCTTTGAAAATAGGATACTTGGGTTTTTCAGCCTTCAGTGGAACTGTATCTGCTCCTTCATTATCGATTGTAGAACCCCTGGAAGATCGCCAAGGACATCTGTCCTACTATTGTCAGTGAGACAGTAGCATGGTCTGGGTGCTCCTAGGCAGAATCTGAGCCCCACCAGCTTAGGCAATATACACGCATCAATGAACTAAAGGAAATTATGAAAGGGAACCCCCTGCCCTGACAGCATATAACCTGAATTCCATGTAGGAAGGGAGAGCACACAAACAGGGTAAGGGCTTGTAACTGGCAGAAAGGCACTATGCGAACATGAACAGCAGTGAGCTACAAATGGTGGTGGCCCATGAGTCTCATTGGCTTGGAGATGAAGGAGAAACACAGAAACAGGCAACACCTGGGGAGGTCACCTGTTCCTTTCTTACCTGCTTTAAGGCTCCTATTGCTGCAGTCCCTGAACTGCTCCATCATCCACCTTCCCCTGCTTGGGCTCGTTCAGGAATGGTTCAGAATGTCTCTAAAGTCAATTGCCTCTGCACTGACAGCAGGCAGTAATTCTTGCAGTGCTTTTGGAGTGCGTTTCTGCCTACCGGGAAGGCTGACAGGATACTCTTCTAGTCCTTCAGTGGAATACAGTGTGGCACTGCTTTTGGCTGTGAAAAGACTTGTCCAAGGGCACACAAGGGTTTGGTGGGCTTGCCAAGGGCAGGCCACAAACACAGGGGCTTGCCAGCCGTGTACCACCTTTCATCACCCTTATGGCCAGTCCAACCCCCTCAACTCTTCCCTTCCCCAGACAGCAAGTATCTTAGTTATTTTTAGAAGAATTTCATGTATCTGTTAGTCTGCAAACTACAAAGAAAACATACGTTTCAAATGAAATAGCTAGGACTTTGACACTTCTTAAAATATACATTTTATTATTTTCTGGTGTTTGCTATGAAGGTTTCATTCAAATTGTGAAGGTACACAGCCTTTACAAACTTTTTGAGTCAAAGGTTTTTGTTGGTGGTTTTGTTCTGTTTCTTTCATGGCAGAGGAAAATACATAGCTATAAAATGTTGAAATTCATTAGATGTTTAGTATTACCTCTTCATATATGCTGTGGAATGCTTTGTAGAAATACTATATAAAATAAGGCAGACTTTGACAGGGAATTCAGTCATAAAATTTCATGGGAGAAAACACAAAGTTCCAACATACTATTATTTTTGTAGCCAAGGGAAGATCAGGTGGTCGTCACTGGTTTGTGAGAGAACTACTGCAGTTCTGGTGCTCAGACAGTATACATTTCTGTTTATTCTACTATTCTCAAGTGAGACCTTTTCAATAAAACTTATTTTAATTAACATAAATCAGACAATATTTAAACATACACATCTATCCTTACAGTGCAATAAAAATGTATCATTGTATAGTATTTTGTATTTGCATTATGAAAATAAAAGGTCTGTACATCAATTAAATGTATATTAATGAGTATGAATCATGTAAATTTGTAATGCATCTAAAGTTGGCTTTGGCTTTTAAGTATTTATAAATTCATAGAAAATATTGAACATCTAACAAAATAAATAAAACATATCATTTTAATCATAGATGCTAACGATCAACCTCAAAAATTCTTGTGTTATTTTTTACATTTGCTACTAAATTTCTTAAAGAGAACTCACTTTCAGTAGTGCTCAGAAGTGAATGATTGCACCTTCTGTGATGTGAAAAAATAGAGTATGTCTATTTTTCATAGATCAAAAATTCCTTCAGAGAGTTGCATTTTAAGTGTCTGATTGTTCTACGTAACTGTCTTAAGTGCTTATAAAAAGCATGTAGCTTTCTCATAAAAGCTGTGAGTCTCTATTAATAGATACTTCTTTTTCACTTGCAGGATTGAGGATTAAGCAAAATCTTCTAATGAATGTCCTTTTTATGAGGATTCTTCAAGGTCTTCCAGCTTCACATACTGGTATGAAGATATCGCAAAAATATGTTCACTAATAAACCCTCTTCAGTACAAGTACTGCAGCAATCCAGTGTAATTCCACTTGGTAGGCTTATTTCATTGGAGTCCACACATAGTAGTTTGTGGCTGACCTCATGTTCTCTTGAATTTGAAAGTTCCCCAAGCACATGGGCTAGCCTTACTGTAATACTGAAGAGACCAAAACAAATCTGAAATCACATGAATAAAAGTGAGCTTGAATAAATATGAATCTGGTTAGTAAATTACACACCATGGTCTAATTGCTATTCTGGTGGTGGTCGAAGGCTCCGCAGCTTCCTTTCATCTAGGCCTTTCCAGTACTTAAAGTTATTATCCAGATGCTGCATCAAATTTGGCAGGTCTGCAAATGCTAGGGAATAAAGGGCAGAGTGTATTTAGTTTGCAGAATTGAAACAGTCACATGATTCTGTCTGCTTAAATATCACTTGAAATGTCTGGGCAACTGTGTTAAGTAGGAAAGCTTAAATCTGTCATACTGATACTTGAAATGGTTTTGGCTGTATAGCTCTCATCACTCATGTATCACTCAGGCCACTGAGAACAGTTCTGTAAGTCTACTTAATACTGGTATTGCGAGTCCCAGCAAAGCGACCCAGTTTTCCAGGAGGGGCATAGCTAATTATGCTCGTAATTATTCTACTTCATCAAATCTCAGTCACATGTCATGATCTGGCACTCAGGAGAGTCACATTTCTGACCACTTTTACCACGGAGGTAGCACTTGGAAGGAAATGGCTGCTCCCCCAAGCAGTTTCCAGACTGTAGAAATTTGTCTTGAAGAATAACTGATATTAACATGGACAAAATGACTGCCCAAAGTGCTATCAAGGAGAATATATTCTGTTCTCCATTTACAGAGAAGCAAGTTTAAAACAAAGTTAAACATTGCCTGAATCCAATATATTAAAGAGAAGCCATGAGAATGGCTCGTAGCAGTATCAAAATACTTCTAAGCAATAATGATGTTATTAAGTTTACTTGAACTGCAGAAACCTTCCCTTTTCTCCCCCTTTCTTTAGGAGCCATAAGCAAGCAATTCTATATCACAGTAGGTTCAAATCTTCACAAAATAGTTATGATCAGAAAATATAGCAGTTTTGCTTACCATCCCAGGCATCAAACATATCAGTAATGAAGTAATCAATGAACGATATTTGGGATTTGGGGATGCTGCAAGTATTTCTGTCAAAAACTGGCATCACAACAGGTAAACCTTGCCTCTTTTCTTCATCAGTCTGCAAAAAACACTTGTGATTATTCACCTAAGACACATTCTGTTAAGAGGCTTCTTTTAGCAGCAGATTGTTTGGCACTGACTAGAACATGCAACTGCTAAATAAATGGAGGAACCTGAATAAATCTGAAGCAGCAGCAATTTAATCTTTAGCACCTAGTCATGTAGGTTTCAGCGAAACAGCAGACAAATAGTGCCTTCCACTGTTTCCCACAAAGTGATATTTACCTTCTGTGTCTGCACACAAAGCTGACCCTAAGTAACTTCACACGTTACTGATTAAGTTATGACTGCTTTTGAGCTAAAAGATGCTCAACCATTTTCAATCTCTGATGGAAGCGACAATCTGTACAACTCAGAGATGGCAAAATATCTTTTTTATTTTCTTGTTCCCCCCTTGAAGTACCAAGTCCCAGTTGCAGTATTTGGTCTATCATCTGTAATAATGACCCTGCCCTCTCCTTTTCCCCATCTTCCTAAAACATTTCTTCAGCACAGTGTGCTAAGGTCTTACAGCATTTCTTGGAGTGAGTGCTGCTCCCATGCTAACACAAGGACCTGATGATCCTATTCTTCAGGCATAGCCAGCATGTTGGTACACAGAAGGCACCCTTTCTCTGCCTCTTGTGATGGGAATGCATTTGCAGGCAAAACTCAAAAAGCCCAGCTCCAAACCGAACAAATTGAAAACTTAAATTTTTCAAAAACTACACTGTAGAAGTTGTCAACTTTCATCTGTCTGAAGGCATCTAGTCTTGTATCAGCATGAGTAATATCCCATCTTTTAAAATAAAAAAGTTGTTATTTTTCACATTACATAATGCAGCCTTAGATGTCCTGGGACACTGGCAGTATATGCATCCTTCTCTTCCCCTTTAAAGAGATGCTCACCTGGAATTTCAGCAGCCCATTTTAGCTGCCTTACCTGTGCAAAGTACTCCTCAGAGATGCGTCCGGCCCACTCTATACACTGTTCTATGGGTCTGCATGGATTGGAAATGTCAGCACACTTTATCAACATGCGTTTGATAAGGATACGGTTTTCAGGAGACGTGAGAACAGTTTTGATTGACTCCCCATCACCATTATTCTGTAACATTTAAGGATTAAAAACAACCCATTAGCAAGGCTCTGTGCACTTACTCAAAAGCTTTGTGTCATGGGAATGCTTTCACCAGATCCTACAGGGATCAGTCCTGCTACTGGCTACCATAGTTGATGTCCAACTGAATTTATAGGGGGATTATGAATGTTAGCCAGAGCTCTGAACTAGCACTGAGCTCCAGTTTCTGGATTCAGTCACTGTCTTTGTGACAGATCTCTTGGGCATCTTTGGGCAAGTCATCTAATCCCTCCATGCCTTATCTGACTCCTTAAAAGTGTGGAGAGGATCCATTCATCACTACACACATAGCGATGAGCACTGTGTAGGCAGAAAAGTGTAAATCTCTGCTGAAATCCAAGGATTAATTGAGTTGCACACTAGGACTGGAATAGCTGGTTTAAAAAAAAAAGGACTGACCCGAGATGCATGGTCATCCTCTGCACACAAACCTCATCAGCGTGAGCACCAATCATTCGGACAGCACTGCTACTATTAGGAGAGTCAGATCCCACATTGCCTCCCAGGCGTGCTCCTCATTCCCTTCCACTGGACCCATGTTAGCCCATCAGTCTTTGACCTGACTGAGAATTTTGCTTTCTGAGAGTTTATCAGTATTAAAGCAATATATTAGAAACATGATTCCGAACAGCCTCATCTTTCTGCTGCAAGCCTAGGAAAGTTTTCAGCCCACACACAGCTTATGTTTGGTTCCCAGGCTGCACATATAAGCACATCAACAGTACTCTTTATTTGGAGCCAGTATACAGCTAGTATGAGTAAAGGCTCTGATGATCCAGATTAGAAGCTATTTTCTGTGGAGCTCTGATGAATTAAGTTTCCGAGGACAGAGATTCAGGATTAAAATATCTTAAAAAATTACCTATAAGTACAACATTATTACTTGACTCTTTAGGGATGGGTAGGTACATAAATTTACAACACCATCTACTCAGAATAGAAACTCTTTGAAGCAAGGAATATACTAGACTTCTCTGGCACCTAACAAGGTCTTGGTCTATAGTCAGAGCAGTGAAGAAGTAACAATAATGATAATAATAATAACGTGCCACCAGTTCCTACAGTATTTTGTATGAAGAGGGAGATACAAAGCAGCAGAAACATTCTGACCTTTTATTAGGACATATTTTTCAGAAGAAAGTTCTTGTGGGGAAGAAAGTTCTTCTTAAAGGAAGAAACTGACAATAATGAATTATTATTTGGCAGTATACTGGCTCAGAAACACCAGCTCCACAGTTCTCACCAAAATGAGAATCCCAAACCAATTCTTTTCCCTCATTTTTAGATATGTGGAAGGGAAAATACAGAGGAAACAAAGTGAGGTGCATACACCTCCAAATGCATAGCAAAATTACATAAGAAAAAGCCAAAATAAAGTGATGGAAGCTCCAGAAACATAAGCATGGAAATTAAGGACAGAAAATTATTAGAGATCATTCAGTTAAGGATAGTAGAGAATATCCTGGTAGGTGAACCACGAGGAGTCAAGAAAGGATGTTCACTTCTGTGATCTGTTCAAACCAAGGGCACAGTTCTACTTGCTGGATGCGGATGTCTTGGGAATAAAATGTGCTAACTGTGCTTAGTCCCAGCATCCTGCTCAGAGTGCAGAGGTGTCTCTGCATGTCAGATGTTAGCTTCCTGTCATAGGCTTAGGTGACATCATGAAGGGAAGTGGGAGGATAAAGGATGCTGGAGCTGGAAAGGATTTTTTTCAGTTTATGAAACAAAAGAAGAAAGGAAACAAACAGAGCAGCTTCTCAGCACGGCTCTTTGAACAAATATGTATAAAAATAATAAATTAAGGAAAAAAAAAAAGTGGAACTGTCCCATTTGGAACACACGGTTGGCAGCTCAGCCTGCAAACACTACACTGAGTCACCACCATGACTGGAAACCAGGCCAGGAAACACATGCTGCCGCTGCAACCAGATATACAACCAGACTTGAAAAAGGATCTGCCAGTGTTGTTCTGCTAGTAACAAGCACAGCAAATGATTTGGTTTATCCACTCACACATTACAGGCCTTTTAATAGGAACCTGCTGAAGTGAGAAACTCCCGACCAAAAGAAGGGAAACATTTTGCTTCTTTTGTTCAATAAAAATTATATAGCCTTTGTCTTTCTTCCCATCCTTGGACAGAATTTGCTGTGAATTGCAAACGCCTTGTGCAGCAAATTATTTCCCTGCAGCCCCTGGGGCTCAGGGGTAGAATTAAACTTTTCTTTAATTTTTCTAAATGTCACTGTATTTGCTTTTACTGTCTCACTGTACAGGTCCAAGCCCTGTTCTTCAGCAGCAACAGCTATTCAGCTCTCCATAACAGGCCAGAAGAGGAGTTTGGCTCTTTGGATGGATGCTGCTGCTCAAAAAACTGCTGCATCCCAATTCTTGGGGCTGGGAGGAGGGGCTCTGCACACTGAGCCAGGCCAGTACAGAGCCCTCCAGCAGGACCAGGTGCTGTCGAGAGTTATGCACTCCACAAGGTCAGCTGGTGCACTGCACTACACCCAGCAGCAGCAGCTCCCTTGTTCTCCTCCTTGCCTCTTCACCTCCGAGGACTTAACAGCCTTTCTCCTAGTTTAGTCAGTAAAACCAGTATCCTACTGGGATTTTGGCTTCACATTCACATAGTTCTCATTAGCATCACTGGGTGCCAAGAACAAAGCTAATTCTAGCATGTACTCCTGTGGACAAATGTCCTCTCCTGCAGTTAGGCTCCAGTCTGCTCCTGATGGGTGAAATAACAAGACCTGTTCCTCTCCCACCTCCAGATAATAAAAAGACTGCCCTCCCCCATTACACACAACAGTCATAAATGTGGCTTTCTAAAAAACATGACAAGAAAACACAGAAAACCATTATAGCTCCTACAGGACATTGCCACCAATGCAAACTTTATTATAACCATTTCTGAAAATCTTCTCTTCACAAAAAACCATTCCAACAAAATTATACACTGCTCTTACTGGCAACAAAACTGCTGGTTGAAGCTGTTATTGAAACTGGTGTGGTTTTTCAGAATGAGTTCTTAACAGGCAATTTCATTGTGTCTATGGGGTTCCAGATGGCTATTGATTATGTCTATATGATACATAATGCCACCATGATCTATTTTAAAGATTAAAAAAGAAAGTAGACAGAAAACCCATGAATGCTGCCAGGCAGCGCTGAAGGCTGAGGGCCCTCATTTCCAGAGAATGCACCATATGGCAGTCAATATACCTGCCCTTATGCTGCACCACCGTGGTTCCCGTTGTGAGCGAGGGAGTAATTCAGCCCGTGTTCTGAGGCAAATCTTGGCTCCTTTGCAGATATGGCCAACAACAATGCCAAGTCTTGCCACTAGCACTCTCTCCATGGGTGTAACTGGGTTCATCAAAATGGCATTTTTAACAGGCAAATATACAGCCCAAGGTTCTGGTCCCAAGTACAGCATCATAGCACTGCAATATTAATAGGATCCAAGTGAGTCCCACTCACCCTCAAAATGTGTGATGACCATGTTAAGCAGAAGGGAGGGCCTTCAAACCCAGAGGTGAAAGACACATTTCTAGTCTCTCTTCCTCCACATTTCTGATGAATGTTCTCAGAATACCATGTGGGGATTTCCTACTGCCAAGGGTTCCCAGTCCCTGCCTAGTCATTTTAAGGAGGACTTGCAGTGTCGCTTACCCCATTTTCTTCTAGTGCTGCCAAGGGTTTATTAATGCTGTTGACAAACTTGTTGACATGCTCAAAGTGCTTTGTCATTTCTGTTGCTAAGACCATGTCAATAATGGCTTGGCGAAGGGTTCGATACTCATTCCTGTTTAAAGAAGGAAACAATTAAGAATGCTGGCTGGTTCACAAAGTGCTGCTTGCTAAAACAAGTCTAACAAAAATGCTACAGACAATTTCCTTTGAGGACAGCTGCTGGGGGAAGAAAGGACAGTAATGAAGGCTTGGGCAGCTGCATCTATGCTGGGTGAAGTACCCTTTGGCGTGCAGAGACATATGTGCTAGAGGCATAACTGGATCTCTAGGAGAAACAGTGCAAGAGCGGGGCAGAATCAGAGGCACCAGCTACTCAGGAGGGCTGCCAGGACATGCCACACCAGCGTGTTCCCAAGGCTTTTAGCACAGACACTCAGCAGCGGCTCATGCTCCAGCCAAGTTTTCAGCAATACTTTTCTGCTGTGTTTTGAGAAGGCCAAGGCAATGGTCACATCCTCACCCTAAATGCCTTTATAGGACTGGAAGAATAACAGGTCCTTCACTACCCTTCCCATTGCAACAAGGCATTTAATTTTTGACTGATGCTCTGTGACTCTTTCTATCCTTGTTCTACCCAGCAAACATCTACCCACTTAGCCATAGCTTGTCCTCTATGTCCGATGATACAAAGTGATTCTTCTAGACTTGCTAACATTAGGATTTACACTAAGTTCCTTAGATAGGGTCTGCCTTTTTATCCACAGGAGAAACTGAAACCATTGGATTACTCCTAAGTCTGTGCAGGACAGGCAGAAGCGCTCTACTGTTTTAGAAGCAAACTTCCACAAGAGCTACGGACAGTCATCCACATGGCACTGCCCTCCTCTAGGATGCTTGTTTGCATTATCTTGTATTACACAGAAGAAACTGAGAGATGCTAGTGGGCAGACAAGGACCCTGGGTTTTAAGCTTACCTCTCCATGTTTTTAAATATATTGCATTTGTCATCTCGGGTGGTGAGCTGGAAAGCCAGGGCAGCATGATGGCTCTCCAGCACTGCGGTGTCATTGTAGAGAATTGCTAGCTCACTGCCAGCATTACACAGGAAAGAATTTGTTCTTCCTGGGTGATCCACGTCATGGACTGTGGCAGCAATGAGTGCGGCAACCTCGTCAATCGGATCCAAAGTTTGCTGAAAATAGAAGGATGCTTAGTTTTCCTGGCAGACTCATTAGAAACCCTACTCTGTCCATAAGATTAAGCCAAGTTGCTGAGGAATAAAAGCCAGAACTCTGCAGATCAGTAAGGGTCAGATGTTCTAGACAGAGCAATGGAAAATTCATTATAAGCTTCACTGAACACTGCATGACTTTTTTGGCCATTTTGCGCCTCTTGAATTTTGCCTTAGCCACACCTTTGACAAAGCACATCAAATTAAACAAATGCAAAGTAATAAATTAGTTTGTGTTTTCTAACAACACAGAAACCACCTTCACTTAGAGTTAGGGTTTTTGGCTTGGAAAAAAGACCAATACTGCTAAAAATTATTCTGTTTCCACCAGACCCCTTAATTTCTTTTGGAAACTTAATGTGTCCTAATCAGATTCCACTTATGTGCTGGCTAGGTTTACAATTTGTAAGGAATGTTTCCCATATATCCAGTTCTATAATAACAGTGTCCTGGGGCTACAGCTAATACGAATTCCATGAAGAATACTTGATGGTTTACATCCACGGAAAAATTAAATGACACACTGTTCTATACTTTCTATATCAGATTCTGATTCTCTTAGCATGCTGCACTCCATGCTTTATGTCTACTTACACTGGTCATTGCTTTATGTCTAATTATATCTACCCTATAATGAAATACAGAACTGTTTGACTTTTAAGGTTTTATACTTAAGTTTTAACACTGTATTAACAGCATAAAGGAGAAAAAGCACCAAGCATCTCAGAAATAAATTGTATACATTTGGAAACTAGCCTTTATGCTGTGTTTATGCTGGCTTTTTGTGAAGGAACACAGATACAAAACAATTATATTAAAAGTGTTAATAAAATGAGAGAGACACAAGAGCAGAAATGTTCCCAGTTGAATCTGGGAGCAGGGCACATAATTTCCATTCCAATTAGCTTGAATTTAAGGTCCAAATTCTCTACTGGCTTTGACAGTACAACTCAGAATGGTCAGACTTGGTAGGTGAAAAGACAATCCCTGCTCTACTTTACACCTCCTGAAATTAATGCAGTGACTTGACTTTGATGGAGCTAGGATATTATTCACTGACGACTGTCAAGAGGGTCTTGTGGAGAACAAGAAAAGGCAAAGAATTGTTTCTACTCTAGGTTCATAGCTAGCATTGTCTGAAATACTATCTGCCATGTGTTAGCTTCTTCCTTCTTTCAGCTGCTGCTCATGGGATTCTATTTTTGTGGTATGAAGTTAGGAGAGAGAGATTCTTAGAAAAGGTTCTCCTCAGAGAGACACACTGACCAGCACTCAGTCTGGCTGAGAAAGATCTGTGCAGATGGGAAGTGGCCAGAAACTGGAGAATATCTGACCTGTAGGACCACAGCAGTGTATCTGATGCTTATTTCCTGAGTCTGACATAACAAACTTTGCAGGGATTTACAGCACCTTTACCCCCAACTTCAGGTCAAGGATTCTAACTTTGTCATCTTAACTCCTGTGGCATCGAAGTGGAAATGATTCTGAGAATACTGCTTCAATTTGGGAGGCAGAAAATTTTCCCAGGCAAGAACCGAATTCAATTTACTGAAAAAAAATCTTCTCAGTGTGAATTTGAGTAGCAGAATCTGGCCTTCTGTATTTAGGTTAAGTTGAACTCTGCACAACACAAAAGCAGCTGGGCTGTAACTTTGAAAAGATAGAGAATTTTGAACTTTGATTCTGCTCCTTCCTCTGCTGCAACATTTTTTTTCTCTTCCTATGCCTACAGAGGAATGGAAATAACATTCTGGAAAAGGAGGTGGCAGTCATGCATCTGTGGCATTGAAATGAGTCCAGATCTTGTCTGTTTTTCATAGATATTCTTGGGAAGACCAGCTAAACCTCTGGCAAATCAGAGGCTGAAAACATCCAGTGAAGTTCTATTCCCACTTGGCACATAGTATGTGTAAGTCAGCCTCTGGAGACCACGCTAATGAGCTGCAGCTCCAGGTTAAGGGACTTACTACAGTTTTAATGAGCTGTCAGAAGCTTGTTTACAGTCACAAATGTCTCAGCCAGGTGCCCATCACTAGCACTATCCTTAGGCAGGCCAATTCAGGGTAGGAATTTCTATCCAAAAATGCAACTCACAAATATGTAGTATCACTCCACTACATACACCTGCAAGCACTATTTTAATTCCCCTTCTCTGGTCTGCCCTCTGGGCATGTGAGAACAACAGTTGCTCTGATTTATTCTGGTTGTCAGTGGCTCTAATACGCCAGTGGGTGTTACGGTACAAGGAACTCCAGCAAGTAATCTTTTACAATACTCTCCTCCAATGCAGGCTCTTTAAGCCTCAAGGCATCTCGTTCAGTGGGGGATATAGCTTTGGAAGCACGAATTTACAGCCTGTATTGTCCTGGGAGTCTTCTGCAAAATGACCATCCCAAGGCATAAGAGATGGTGATTTATTACATTAAATCTGTATTTGGCATGTACCGTCAGAAAAATAATTGTGTCATTAGCTCACCTATCTGAGAATGTTTAACTATATGGTTTTGTTTTATAAGGTTTTCTTATTCTCCCATGAAGAATAGCTCAAATCCCGTAATGCTAGTATCCATTCTTCCACATATACTGTAAGAGATCCTAGAACTCACGTAAAGCAGCCCAGTTCTTTGACCTCAGAGTTACCAAACTGGTTGGCACTAGGTAGACATTTGGCTCTTGGCATCTTCTTTTGAGAGATCTTCCTTTGATCACACCTGTACTTTCCACTTACACTGTTTCTTACAAATGTGGACTCACCTTTACTCTTTCTTTAGACAAGAAATAAGCAGTGGCATGTAGTACATCTGCTGAATGAGTAGAATTATGGTAGGAGTTGGAGGAGTGGTAGTTAGCTTCCATAACTTGTAACCACGACCTCAACGTTGATTCTGAACAGTTTAGGAATTCACAGATTCCAAAGCGAGCAAATATTTTGAGACCCAGATAAACCAAAGGCCTGTGGAGAAAAATAAACACAAAGTTTTAAAACAAATGAGGTTGAAAGAATATTACACGGCATAAATAGTATGAATCTATACAGCATTTTTAACCAATGACATGTCAGATTAGGTATAAGGATTTATTACAGAATTACAATCCAGACCTGTAGAAATGTTCTGCCTACCCATCACATGCACACTTTCAGAACCATGCCAGTTCCTGACACTTCCAGGAATATTAAAAAGGCTCTATATTGCTGCTGTACTACATGTAGCAGTATTTAGGGGCCTGGGGAGTCTGTGTTGGGTAAACGTAGACTGCAGTCAAAATGAGATAAATTAGCAGGTACTAAACTCTGCTCATGAAAGGGAGGTAATCTTGCTGCTGCCACAGATAACTAGCTTGTTTACAGCTAGATTAAGTATACCAATACTCTGCAATGCTGCCATCACTATTCTTTCTGCACCGCAGATCTGCTCCATTTCTTCTACACCTACCCTTGCAGGCTTCCATTGCTCTTTGACTTTGCATGCAATAGAGGATGAGAGATGGAGGTATTCTGGAAGCAAATGACCAGGCCAGAGTATACCATTTCTAGAAGACTATAAGGGCCAGATGAACCTTCAGGCTAACCCAGTTGGAGACCTGTTTCCAAAAATCGCCAATATCACTGTAATTCAGTACTCTTGCTTCTCCCAGGCCAAACTCCACAATTTAAACCCAGATGACTGGAAGGTGAATGAAGATCAGAACAGCAGTACAGAATATTTCTAATCTGAAAGCTGTGAAACTGCAATATATTTAATAGAGCAAATGAAAAAAAAAAAAAGTTTTAGTCCACTAGCCTTTTTTCGAACCCAGTTAATATTGCTGTTTTCTTGTCCAATACATTTTTTGCTTAAGAAGAACAGGTATAGTGGTAAAAATTTTCAAATGTGGATTCTTAGAAATAGATCTTCAACCCTGTCCTGGTTTCAGCTGGGATAGAGTTAATTTTCTTCGTAGTAGCAGGCATAGTGTTGTGTTTTGGATTTAGTAGGAGAATAATGTTGATAACACACCGATGTTTTAGTTGTTGCTAAGTACTGCTTATGCTAGTCAAGGACTTTTCAGCTTCCCATGCTCTGCCAGGCACACAAGAAACTGGGAGGGGGCACAGCCAGAAGAGTTGATCCAAACTGCCCAAAGGGCTATTCCATACCATATGGCATCATGCTTAGTATAGAATCTGGGGGGAGTTGGCCGGGGAGCAGCGATCGCTGCTCGGGAACTGTCTGGGTATCGGTTGGTGGGTGGTGAGCAATTGCATTGTGCATCACTTGCTTTGTATTATTATTATTATTCCTATTATTTTTGTATTGTTATTATTATCATTACTATTTTACTTTATTTCAATTATTAAACTGTTCTTATCTCAACCCAGGAGTTTTCTCACTCTTACTCCTCCGAATCTCTCCCCCATCCTGTCGGGGTAGGGGGAGTGAGCGAGCGGCTGTGTGGTACTTAGTTGCTGGCTGAGGCTAAACCACAACAACCCTTATTTTGGCATCTCACTTTGCTGCTTGATTCCAGATGCATCAAACACTCTGATTTTTAGCTGCACCTGACAGGTGAGGTGAGGTCATTTAGAGTTGCTGAGGTCATTTAGAGTTGGATGTACATCTTTTGGCAAAAACTATCATATGTCATATACTAGAATCAAAATATACTAAAGTTAAATCCCCTTAATTCCCCCCACGTAGCACTGTCAGACAAAGGTGTCTCCAGGTTTCTGTGTCAGTGAACTGTAATGCACTAGAGCTTAGATTTAATGAATTATCTTGGCTTTACTACCATATGTCTGCTTGGACTTGAAGACAATGCTAATAACATATTCATACTTGTGATTCATTGAAGATCACTTTAATTCTCTTAATAAATGTATTACCTTTATTTAAACACAGCAGGAAGCAATCATAATTATAGTAACTTTAATAAGAGGACAGGCAACAAAGTACCTCCTTTGTCCCTTTGTGGTCTCTCCAAATCAGTAAGAACAGAAAAACCTATCTGGTGATCTCATGCATGTTGGCTATCTGGTGATCTAAGTTACTGCAATGTGCATATTAAATGTTGTAAATCACACAGACTGACTATATTTTTCCTTTTTTTTTTTAATTACTGTATCTATAGCACTTCATTAGAAATGGAAATGTAGCAAAGCAAAAAAAAAACCCTAAAGTAACTGGATGAAAATTTCTTCACTTACAATAAAACCACTTTAAAGAAGAACAAAAACATGGGTTTTTTCCACTTTTTTGGCTCATAAAACCATGGTCTAAAATAGAAATGCATATGTGTTAACTAAATGCCTGGTATCTTTCTCAGACAGTGTTTTTTAATACCTTTCAAAGCTCTAATGGATCTGTGATTTTGATGAGGCTTCAAGATAGTCAATTCATTGCAGGATCTAGCCTCCAAATTAAGTGTCTCATAGAAGCTTTAAGCTAAGACAAAGCATGACACATGAAACTAGTTACAAAGGAGAACTTTTGATAGGCATCTGAAAATAAAAAAAAGGACTTAAACAGAAAGATCAATTTACAGCCTTAGTGGGAGCATTTGCTACTAATGAAGTACAGTCTATCAAAACTTCTGATCTGCTTTTGAAAACTTCTGTGATGGAAATTGGTATGCCCTACTTTTCATCAGTAAATATTCTCCAGTTAATTTTATACATAAAATGTAGCCTGACAACATTTCAGAATAAAGACCTTCCTCTAATCCCAGAGAAAGGCATTGGGAATTCTGCTGAAAAGCTGTATTTGAACTGTTGAGGAATAAAAATTACCCAATTACATGGAGAGAAAATAAAACATGATCTGTATCAACTGATCAAATTAAGACCAGCATGTTGACTCTGTGTGTAGTTGGCCACAATTTGAATTTGAATCCCCACAAGATGACAATTTGATTTGTAGAACTTTTCTATTATTGAGAACAGAAAAGGAAGGCTTTTAAAACAATGTTGTTTTGTTATTATACCATATCAAAGACATATAATCTTCACTTATATCCACTGGGAATCTGCAGGAAATAGTGTATGATGAAACAGAAGATATTTAATGGGTTCATATACAACTAGAAATGACAACGAGAAAATTTCAAACATTTGACTTTGAATATAAAAGTAATTCCATTTTAAAAGCACAGGCAGAGAAATTAAAGAGCTGTTTACAGGATGACATTTAAGTCAGTTTTCAGCAACTTCAATTTATGAACTCTTGAGTTTACTGACCTTTTATGGGTGGCAGCCTCAAGTTCAAAGATATCAAAATCCCAGTGTTCTTCATTTTCCATTGCTTGTGTTATCCGTGGGGGTATGTCATTGAGGGAGATTGGAGAGATCAAACTGCCAGCGACCTGATGAGTTTCTGTTGAGGAATATATTTGCAGATCACTATTAATAACCTGAGATACACTTTTACTTTAAAAGTTTTCTTTTCTCTAGTAACACCTGGCAACTCTTGTTTCTATAAAGCTCAGTAATCCTGCAGAACAATGCTTATAAATAAAAATAAACCAAAACCAAGCAATGCTTATAAAAAAGAACACCTGATCACATTTCCCCTGTTTCTTAAACGTCTTAACATGTTTTAATATCTCAGTAACCACCAAATTAAAACTTACGTTTTGCTGACAATATGTATTCGTTCCCTGATAATCTTCGTAAACCATCCTGTTCAATAAAAGTTGAGAGTTAAATGCAAGGTAGTGTACAAAAGGTCTATAAGATGATGACGTCAAATAGTAGCACAATGACTTTAGAAAACCCTGACTGCAACCTGTCACAGTCATCAAAGCTGCCTCTCCCTTATTTGTGTGTACTGTTGAAGATTTGCCTGTTTTACATATAGTTCATAATGGATAAGAAACTGCAAGATAAGGGATACAATATGAACTGAGATAGGTAAAAACTCAAATTTCTCAGCTGCAGATGGAGGTCTGGAATTACAGCCTCACACCCACCTTTGTCTGGACAACACACATACAGGTTCTGGATGTGTGCCACAAACCAGACACGGTATGTCCACATAACTTCCCATCAAGCAGCAAAGGTCTGTGGTGGGAGGGAATGGATGGAGACATGCTTCTGCTCTCCTCCCCCTGGTATTGGCAGATTGCAGATCAGGTCACCTCAGCAGCATAAGAATCTCATGATTTGTTGCTGGGATTGCAGAGCAACAAATTACTCTGAGGCTTCCCTTCTATCAAAGAAGAATTATTCTCCAATTCAGTGCCTCCTAGGCTTAATTCTGGCATGATGCCTAGATGTGCAAACTGAGATGAAGGATTAAAACTAACAGAATGATATATTTAATATTTACTTTTCAGCTCATAATTCGAAATGCTGTGGCCCAAATCCTGCTTGCTTTTTTGATGTATACAGCTGTTAGTTACTGCACATGAATGTTTAGCCCATGATATAAAAGAACAATTAAAAAAAAAATCTTTCTGAATACACCTTACTAACGATGTTATGTACCCAAAGTACAGCAGAAGTAAATGCGGATGCTATATCTGAACATGCAATGTCTGCACCTAAAAGAATTGTTATATCTCATTTTTATTTTCACATTTATAAGTAAATTACTCTGGAGTTTTGTGATTTAAAAGGAAAGGGAGTTCTACTCCTATAACTGGCTCAGTGACTTTTCAATAGCACTGCTATGACACAAATATGTAGGATACCAGATGCTGTCTATCATTTAGAATAAAAGACTTTTTTTTTAAGAGTTGAAATAGCAGGTGTAATTGTATCTGGCAAATACATCTTTGAACTCCAAATGCCCTTCCCATCATGAGTTCTGCTTGAGAGTTCAAATCCAATAACCTAATACTTGTTCCCCTACTCAGACATAACTTGTGAACATGAAATGGAATAATATGATTCTGTTTTCAACAGACCCTTTGCTGGAAAAATGCTTCTCCCAGATCATTTTAAAACTCATACTATACCATATACCTTCATGCCCTGAAATGCATTTTCTCAGCTTTTCTATTGCTCCATAAAATAGCCTTTGTTTTATTTTCACTAAGGATTTTATATTTTGCAATACTGTTACCTACATGTTCTAGGACCATGGACTGAATACAGTCAGAATGCAAATGTATGTAAGAATCAACAATCTACAAAAAGGAGAAAACAGTTGAGTTTATGGACTGTATGTATTCAGCAGAAGAAAAGATTAACTTTGAGACTCTAATGATTACATGTATCAATGTTCTTCCTATATTTTTGTAGTTAAGGGAACAATATATTTTGTCTACTAAGTAAATTCAACCCTGTATAAACCATTCAGGTCTTCATCTGGAATTTTTGAAGTCTCTTGTATGTTTCTCCTGATTAGATATTTGCCGTGGTATTTTAAAAGGCAAAAATATGTGTAAACTGTTTCGAGATTCTGATAGATACTGCAAAGGCATCTTGGTAGTTACAGCATGAAATGATAATAGCCCAGAGACATCTCTGAAAAGCTCACATCTTGTGAGCCTTTTTGCATCCAACACACTGTCAAATTTTTTCCTGAGGTAGCCTCTTAAATGCAACCTACAGACTAAGGGGAACACATATCCTTAAGGCACAGGTAACATTCATCCAAGTTCATCTAGTTATTATCAGGAGGGTCAGACTCCAGGCTCTGAAGGTTTGGGTTCAATTCTTGCTTTGCTACGTGCCCTTTGTTCAACTTCGGGTACAACGCTGCTTCTTCCAATGCCCCCAGTCCTCTTTTCGTAACATAACAACATAATACATGCCTTCTTCAGTCTTTTTCTTGCCTTTTTTATTTAAATTATGAGTTCTGTGGAGCATGATTGTGTTTTAGTACGTGAACATTCATGTTTCTAGCTCAAAGCACTCTGGTCTTTCTATAAGTCTCTACGGGTACAAATATAATCCAAGAAATATCAACAAAAATATGTATTTTGCATTCTTTTGAAAACACATTCTTTCTGTACACTGACAAGCCTCCCAAAACATGCTCTTCTAATCCTAATTAATAAATACAAGTGTCTAGCTAGCTATCTTTCTTCCTCTCCCATCTAGACATTTCTAAAATGAATCACATTGAAAAAAGAATTGGTTTTCCTTTCCATTTCTAGCAAAACTAATGCTTCAAAGGGACTGGTCAATTTTCTTCCTATTTTCAGAGCTACATTATTAATGTAGGGGGGAAAAAAGTCCACAAAAAGAGGTGTGCAGTTTTTCCTGAAAATTTGGCATTGTAGAGGCAAAGCACATGCCAGATGATAAAGATTGAGTAACTGGGAAAATCAGGCTGTGGAACATTAATCAATAGCTGTTTGTGGCAGTATGTACTTACTGTCATTAACCCTCCAACGAGGTCACTTGTATGTGGATCCTCATCTTTTGTCCCCAGTTGTGGAGAGTATAATTCAGTGGTTCTTAAAATCTCCAGAACCCGGTCTAAAGCTTCTGCAACTGGCATGGGACTGCTTTCTTGTGCAGCATTGATGATGTTTATTACCTAGTTAAATGTTAGACACATTTTGAATTTAGAAGTGATTTAAGGAAGAACAGAGACACTCATCAATTACTATGGAAAACTCATAGCAAACAAACGAGATCTACAGCTTTAATCCACATGTGGGAGAATCAAAATGAAAGGGATGTTAATAAAACACTGATGTTGGCTACTGACTCTGGGAACAAGATCGTGGCCTTAAAGACAGCAGTCTTATTAATGACTTTCCCATCGTTGAGGCACAGCCTCAAAATGTCTCTGAATGGATTTAATATAACCTTCTCCCATTTGCCTCTCTCAATTTATTAGAGCTGATTTTTGCCAAATCCTTGAATGGTTTCAGGAGGCAGTTTACAATGCGTAAGTAAGAAGGAGGAAGTCTAGTCTCTCCTTCACATAGGCAAAAGTCCTTGAAAAGGGTCATGCAATGGCTGACCACATGGAGGGCACTCGACTAAGCAGGCTTGGGAGAACTTTGTTCAGAGCATCTGGCTTTTTGGAGCTCCACCAGTGGGCAGGTGGAATTTGGGAAGAAGTTGCATCAGAGGCCAGCGTTGCCTCGCTCCTCAGTCTGGATGCTGTACAGGAGCCTTGTACCCCAGTATTCTCACGCACCACAACTGACAACAGCTAGTGAGAGTGCACATTACCTTGGTGATGGGTGCTTCAATAGTCATGGAATGTATCCTGGCCATAGAAGAGTGCCGCCTTTGTGAGCTGCCTATGTGGAAAACAAAGCAGAATTCGCATCCTGATTTCAGCGACAAATCATGACAGGAGGATTCAGCCAAGAAATCTTGATTCATTTTCTGAACTGCTTACCCTGTTGTGCCCTTCAGAGGTGATCTATTGCAGATAGCACACACATGCTTGTTATGCTGGGGACACACAGGTGCAAAGAGATGCTGGCTGAACCACTGATATCCCAGATTAGAGGTAAGTAGCCGTAACAGCCTGGCAAAATCACGGCTTTGTTTTTTTTATTTTAACTGATTAAAATATTCAATTAAAAACTCAGTTAAAAGACTATACAGATGTGTGTGTGTATAAACTGGCAGGCACAGGTAGGTAACTACTGCGCTTAAGTTATTACAGGATATATCTGCTTTTGCTGCCTGATACAACGTGACAATTCATAATGAGTCAGCTTCCAAGCTGAGGTAAATCAGTAAAGCTCTTTTGAAGTGAAGATAGCTATGCCAAATTAAAACAGCAGAGGTTCTGGCCTATTATTCATTGGAAACTGAAAAACAAATGTTTTATATCAGTTAGCAATTTTGGTTCTGTAGAGAAAAGGCCACGGTGGGATTTTTCTGGGTAATTATGTTGTGCTACCTATAAAATGCAGATACATCTCTGTTACTCTTTGTGCTGAGCAGCTCTTAAGAAGAATCAATGCTATTTTTGCTATGCTGGAGCATGATTATATTCTCACTGCCACAGACCTACTACCATGTTTGACTAGTGTATGCTGCCTAAACTGTAATGATGTATGCTTTAACAACAGTTTTGAATATATGACTCACCTATCATAGAATCATAGAATCATAGGATCGTTTAGGTTGGAAAAGACCTTCAAGATCATCCAGTCCAACCATTAACCTACACTACCAAGTCCACACTAAACCAATCAAGGGTAGACTAGACTAAACCATGTCCCGAAGTGCCACATCAACCCGTTTTTTGAACACTTCAAGTTTGGGGTGATCTAATGGAGCAAAATACAACACAGTGAAAAGAAAACAAAATCTGTAAAAGAATTCTCTTCATATTTTTATCATGATAAGAGGTAAGAAATGTAATAATTTTTTAAGTTTAGAGTTTGCCATTTGTACTTGAAAGTATCTGTGTTGAATCTCATGACGTCTTCCATGCAGGATGGTAGACGATCGCCTTCCATCCTTCACTGGTTCAAAAAAAGACTCAAAGTAGTTCAAGAGAAGAAAATGGGGCTATTTGACAAATTCATGAATTGATGACTTGCTATTTTATTCATGTGTGTGTATGTGTATATATACACATATATGCTTACCTATATTTGTATGTGTATGTACATATGTACATAAAAATTATAGAATCATTTAGGTTGGAAAAGACCTTAAAGATCATCCAGTCCAACCATTAACCTAACATTACCAAGTCCACCACTAAATCAATTAAGGGTAGAGTAATAATTTCATGTTTCCTGGCTTGGGGGCTGGATTGGTTTTTAATGAAAGTAAAAACTAGGAATCATTAAGGTTGGAAAGGACCTCTAAGATCATCAGTCCAACCATCAACCCAACACCACCATGCCACTAAACCATGTCCCAAAGTGCCACATCTACACGTTTTTTGAACACTTCCAGGGATGGTGAC